CTGAGCAAGAAACATGGACATCACAGTCACAGTCTGATCTCTAAAGATGGATGTGTTCCTCATTCTCTGTCATCACTGTCAGCACACATCTGTGAAGCTCTGCGTGATTCTGCCACACGGATCAAACGCGGTTCTGATTATGGCCTGCTGGACCATGAGGTTTCCTGCGGGGAGCTTTTAAACATGCATGAGCGATCCTCTCCACTTGCTTGTCAAAGATATGATTGATGGTGCTGTACAACACAACACCTTTAATCACCGTCTTTTATTGGAAATGAAAGACTTTGTTAGACTGAGATGTTATGGAGGGGCTCGCAGGGGGATTAGATCTGGAAATATATTCCACAATATGTGCTTTGTGATTTTTTTCTTTCACAAATTCTGAACAGGAGCGTAAACCAGAAGATTAAAGAGATACTGCATTGATTTTCTATGTGAAGATCAGACTTGTTAGGGGAATTAGTTAATGAAACCAGTCATACGTGTGATCCTTGAAGAGTTTTGCTGAGATACAACCAGAAGATGAGCCACTTTCACGGGCTTAACGTTGGTTTATTTATTCTACAGGGTGTTTCTGTGCAAATGACCTCATGAGCTCCAGGCGGTGACAGGATCAGCTAGGCGGTAAAAGCTATGATGGAATGGGAATATAAATGTGTTTATTTAGCTGTTCAATCAATCAATCAATCAATCAAATTTTATTTCTAAAGCGCTTTTCAAACAAAGTGTTATTCAAAGTGCTTTACAAAATGACCCCAGATTCCCATAACAGGTTAAAAACATTAACAAACATATGCAATCACACGCACACACACACAGACTCACACACACACACACACGAGTAAAAATTATATTAGGCTGAGTCCAGATGAGCCAAGTAAGGTAACGCAAGGAAACACCATCAGAGGAGCCGTCTGTCCCGGCAGCATCAGGTCTTCCACACTAAGTCAGGGCGCTCAGTGGAGGGGGAGCATAGACCCCCACCTATAGAGCGCCCAGGAAGCTACAGTCGACCACCGCTCCCGGGGCAGAGGGCCCCCACAGAGGAAACACTGGATTAAAATGAGTAAAAATGTAATAAAAGAGCTAATATAAATGACAACAATTAGAAAATAGGTAATAAATAAAATCATAGACAGTAAAATAATAATTTAAATAATTAAACTGTGCTAAAATATAATCATATAGAACACGCAAAGCAAGTAATAAAATGTAATCATGTAAAACGAGAAATAAAACTGTAGTAAATATTTAGATAAAAGCTAACCTAAAGAGGTGGGTCTTGAGCCTGGACTTAAAAACATGAACGTTCTCTGCGGCCCTGAGGTCCTCTGGCAGCTCGTTCCAGAGGCGAGGGCCGTAACACTGGAAGGACGCCTCGCCGTGAGTTTGTGTCCTGACTTTAGGGATGACCAGGAGACGCCTGCCAGAGGAGCGCAGAGGCCGTGAGGGTTCATATTGTAAAAGCAGGTCTGATAGATAAGAAGGCCCAAGACCATTAAGACACTTAAAAACCATTAGAAGAACCTTAAAATTGATCCTGAAACATACGGGGAGCCAATGCAATGATTCTAAAACTGGTGTCATGTGCTCCCGCCTCCTGGTCTTCATCAGGACACGTGCTGCCGAATTTTGTAAAATTTGTAAGCCTGAGATGCTCTTTTTGGGAAGAGCAGAAAGCAGGGCATTGCAGTAGTCTAGTCTACTGGTGATAAAAGCATTTATCAACGTCTCCGTATTGGCCCGAGAGAGAATGGGGCGGACTCTGGCGATGTTCTTTAGATGATAAAAACCTATTTTTGTGATATTTTTAATGTGTTAGTCGTGTTTCTGCATCAGCAGCACTTTTTCTTAGTTACCGCTGAACAGCCATGGCCAAACTTTTAGACAATGACAAAAGCGTTAAGTTTGCATATTCAGTGTTTTTTAAAGGTCTTGCCAGTTGTTTCTATGTCTGCAGAAGTATGTAAAAGACTTTGATTGATAACTGCATCTATGCAAAGAGTCAACATTTGCAGTGATGGATCTTCTTTTCCAAGACTTTTGCTATCGACCCAACACGTCGTTCGCCTTCTGATTCAAGTCCTGACTGACGGCAGCCCGCTTTTGCATAGCAGTGTTTGGAGTTTGCTGGTTTTGGTTTGTCCACCTGCCTCTTGAGGGCTGGCCACACATTCTCGCAGGGGTTAAGGTCTGGGGACTTTCCTGGGCCAACATGCTGAGGTTTTGCTGCCCAAGCCACTTTGCTGAATCAATTTTCATAACAAATTTAGACGTTGCAATTAACTGTAATTAATCTTATGAGATCACTGTTCTTAAATGCATGTAACACTTGTTTAGTAAATACATTTTCAGCTGTCTCCAGAAAGAATTAATGTCTTATGAGTCGTAGTCGGGGGGGAGCCCAGAAGCACCGTTATCAGAAGTCAGCTGGAGGAGAATGTAGCTTCAAATGACTCTTATAGGGAGCCGAAGTCTCCTCCCTTTCCGGTTGGCTCATGGGTCCCCGGAAGAACGAAAAAATGAATGCAAGTCAACGGAGCTAAAAGAGACATTTTCTAATCTGCCTTACGCCCTGCATCGCACACATGGTATCCTTAAATGAAAAGTTATGATGTGTTTTTGACCACGCCTGTCATGTACTTTGAGATAAGTTCATTGTTAGCATGACTGCATCGGTACGTTGCGTATGTAACGTCGCCACATAATCTCTCTCCCCTCACTGTCATGTTGAGGGGAAGGTGAATGACCCACGAGATGCAGAATCATACACTGAGGCCGGATATGATAAGAAATAAGGTTTATTATAAAAGGTAAAAGAAAAGCACAGCAGGAAAATCCAGCTGAGACTCCGGAAGGAATCTAGGGACAGGGAGGGAGCGTTTGTGGAAGTGGATGAGAGGAACACTGGGGTGAGAGTCGGGACTTACAGTTCGTGGTCCAGGGGGGAGCATGAGAAGGGGGAGTAGCTTGGTCTGGGGTGATCCGGGAGGAGTGAGGGAAGCAGAGACACACACTTCCGGTTAGCAGGAGACTGGGGATTCAGGCTACTGGCGGACAGGAAAAGCTGATCACGGGAGTGAGGACAGGATCCGGTAAGGTGGGTGGTCGAGGAGGAGTGGATGATCAGGGACTGGCTGGGAGATGGAGGAGCGGGTCCGGATGGGTTGCAGGTACGTGATGAAGGTGGTGGCGGAAAGCCAAGTTGAGCTAATCATCCAGCGAGGTGAAGATGTCTCCCAGCAGCTTATATGTCCCTGGCCAGCTGATGAGCAGATGGACTGCAGCTGAATCGCTCCCTGACACGCCCACCTGCAGGAGAAGCTCAGAGAAGGTTAGACTGAGAGGAGGACTCACCCCAGACCATGACAGCTGGGGGCTGGATAGGCTGGAGATTTGAATTCAGGAGGAGGTGGGAACACCTCTGAGAGAAAGCCTGGAAATGACTCATCCGGTGGCTGGTGCTCCAACTGGGCCTCTTGGACAGGCTGGGCGGGGGGCGGAGGTCTTGGGCAGGCTGGGCGAGGCGGCGGAGCCTCTTGGGCAGGCTCCTGAAAAACCAGGATGGTTAGGGTCTCCACCTGGAACTCCTGAAGGCCGATGAGGAGTCCAGGCCGGGCCAGCTCAGCTTGCAGGCAAGCGAGATCCACCACGTGGCCTGCTGCAAGCTTGATCCCTCTGTCCGGAGTCGACGGAGGTGCTGGCTGGACTGAAGATGGCTGGACTGCAGGGGGAAACTAGAGCTCCAAGCCAGAGTGCAGAGCAGGGGCCTCTGAGATAGGCAGCACAGCTTCAAAGGCCCCGTTGGCTGGTCTTTGGAGAAGGAAATCCCAGGTGCGAGACAGCTGATAGGCCCCCTCGTCTCTGTGCAGGCCTATCAGCTGTCTCGCAATGGGATTTCCTTCTCCAAAGACCAGCCAGCTGGGGTGGGCGTGACCGACCCAGCAGCTCTGACAGATCCGGTTTGGTCACGCCCACCAGAAAAACAGCTGATGACGATGCGTCACAGAAACATCTGTGACACTTCTGATGAAGACCGCAGTCGCCGGTTGAAGCATGTCAAGGTAAACCGATAACACAACCTTACATGTCCAGATAAAAAACTGTTTAAAAAAACCTGATAAAGTATTTAAGAAGAGGACATAATGAACGTTGTAAAGAACTCATCTTTAGGTTTAAGGCCAAATAATTTACGGTCCAATAGGCTGTCCGTGGGTGGGTGGGTGTGAGAGGAGGGTGGCCCTACAAGGAAACAGGAGCTCCTTCGGGACTCGAGAGGAGGTAACTAGTCAGCTGAAAAACCAGCTCTAGCGTAGCTGCTACTTATCACATGGCCACATTTATGGTGGTTCTGTCCTCCTGGGGGAAGGATTTGAAGTTTGCTGAACTTACAGCCATTTTCCCTCAGTTTTCTCCCTGTCGGGTTCGATGACGTCACTTTCGTGATGCGCATTTGTAGTCCTGGAGTAATTTTTGCACAAAACCTAAAATAGCATTTCCCCCATTTGAAAACAAGCACTCTCTTGGTATCAAAAAGCTTCTTTAAAATTCACAGACATCATACATGAAATCCATGTCACAAAACAAGCGGAATCAGAAAATAACCTTTTTAGCCCCATGACAAACATTCATTTTTTCGTTCTTCCGGGGACCCAGAGTGGTCCGGAAGTAGATGGGCGTGACTTAAGCTCTCTACTTCCTGATCTTTGGACATCTCCCCTCTGATTGGATATCAGCAACTCAACTCTGGACTCTGTTTGCTCTGCAATCTTATGATTTATCTCCACAAATAACACAAACCTGAAGGAGTTCTGAATCTCCCAGGATTAGATTAGAGGGTAAAACTATTTTTATTCCATATTCCATATTTTTGGTTCTTATCTGTACACAGAGTAGTAGAGCTAAATGGCAAATGGCCTACATTTGATATAGCACCTTCTAGAGTCCTGAAACCCCCCAAAGCACTTTACAACACAATCAGTCATTCACCCATTCACATT